AAATTATTCAGCTGCATTACTATGCAGCATTACTAAGACTGCATTACTATTACTAATAGTCTTCTCATCATTCCTATCACCCATCTCCTCCCACTTATGACTGCAGGATTGTAACTTTGTCACTTATATCTTACGATTTATACTGATATTGATTGTTTCCTGATTGCTTATTTGTACCCTATGACTATCATTAAATGTTGTACCTTATGATTCTTGACAAATGTATCTTGTCTTTTTATGTGCACTGAGAGGATATGAACATAAATTCCTTGTGTGTCCAATCACACTTACCCAATAAAGAATTCTATTCTATTCTTTTCATGACTTAAAAAACGGCATGCTTAACAGACTTGCTAAAAGAATTCAAATAACCCAGCTGTCTGCAAGGGTAAAAATCCTTCCATTCCCCACTATCCAGTCAGAACTGAAGAAGCTTCTTGAAGACTTTGAAACTTCTTCAAAGGAAAAACCAAAAAGTCCAGTTGTCTCTTGAAAAATCATCTTTGGGAGGATCTCCAAGAAAACAACCAAGCTCAGAGAGTACCAAGGACCCCTCATTTCAACCCTGAGCTACAAATTTTCTCTTTTATTGGTATAAAATTAAGGCTGTGATTGAGAATATTAATTCTGTGATTGCTGGAAGAGCATTGAGTTTGTAACAGATCCTATACTTAATATAGTAAGACCTACTGTAAGTACTATAAATCCTGAGAGACTTCTTTTCAATTAGTTTTGGTGTTCTGGATAAGATTCTTGTAATCCCCTTTGTTCTCTTGTATTTAATAGATATTAGGGCTCCATTTTAATGTGTATTTTGTTTTTCATTTTAGCCATTCATTATTTTAAGATACAAATTTTAAGCCAACTTATTTACAACTTAGTTAAGGGAGTGATGCTTAATTAAGAAGTATTGCTAAAATGTAACAGAACCAAACCACAAAATTCTTCAAATGCGTATGTCAACTGTTTCTTATTTACCATTATTCAAATGTATCAGTAAAAGTTTGTATTATTGCATTATTCTGGTCCTGCTTTAGGCATAAAAGACTTTGAAACAGTCACTCTGAGTTATTTATAAAAACAATAAAGGTAGGATTTAAGAAACCTTAAAAAATGATGTGGGGAAAAAAATAATATTTTCAACATTTGCATTCAAAAGATTCAATTCTTGTTTTATTACAACCCATAGACAAGTTAATAAATGTTTATAATTTTTTCCAGGTTAGTTTTACAATTCAACTCCTAAAATAGCATTCTAATTTCTGATTTAAAATAGAACATTATCAGACCATTTAATCAAAACTAAATATGTGCATTTTGTAAGATTATTCATTTAATTATGTGATTCAGGGGCTGTTTATTTAATTTTTAATATGCATTGAATTCCATTGAGATACTCACTTTTTCAAAGTAGGAAAAACACTTTGTAAAAAAACTTCCAAGAAATGAGTATTTTTGATAATTAATTTTTTGATTTCAGGATTTCTCCACTGTGTGGCGCCAAAGTACTATATTAAACAATTAAGGTGCCAAATTGATAATTTCTTTGGAGTTTTTGTGTAGGTGTTATTTATTTACTTGTCTTTTTGTCAAATATCCAAAATACCACATTATGAGAAGTCAAGTTGAGAACAATTGTCCCACTCTCTTCTATTAATATGTGAATTTCAGTATGTTATTATGTATAACAAGCATTCTCTTAATAAATTCTTAATATAAATAAATGGCAAATTAGGGGCAATAGATTTGTATAGCACTTCAAATGTTCAGGAACTGAATACATTGGGGGGGACCCACTAGTGGGTTCCGGATTCCTTTCCAACCAGTATGGTTGGAACGGGCCCGGCGGCATCCACATGGATGCATGCAGCACGTGCATGCGTCTTAGCGCCTCTGCGAGCCTCCGTAATGCTCCAGCTGCTCAGCGGAGTGTCATGCAGGCGCTGTACGCGCCATGCGCATGTGTGGAAGCGCAGGACACTTAAAAGACTGGTAAGGAGCTCGGGCGGGCAGGTCCTCCGGAGCACCCTACCGGAATGGTATCCGGTGCTCCGGGCTGGGTCTGGTACGCCCGTACCGGGGCGTACCACCTGCAACCCACTACTGGGGAGACCCCAGCTATTTTGATATCCAGTTGCAATTCTTGGATGATCATTTTCATTAGTGTTTGATCTGTGTGTTTTCATTAGTGTTTTAATGTTTTAATTATGAGGCATTATAACGGTTCTTTTATACTCATTTTATTGTGTACCACTCAAAATCTTTAAATAGGGTGATGCAAAAAGCATTCTAAATAATTAAATGACACAATCAAAATGCCATCCTTTGTGATTCTGTAGAATTTTAAGTTTCCACTTTAAGGTAGCCTTTCTACAACTTTTTTTTTTAATAAAGGAAAACAAACAGCAATTGTACTGCAGAAATTCCCTCTTTACCTCCATTATGTTCAGATAATATATCAGTCAATGTTATTTTACTGCATGCTAAATAAATGTAGATGATAATCAGCATTGATCTCATGAATGGTTGCCATCTTTACTTTTTAATTGCTTTCCCTGGACAACTACTGAAAAGCAAGATAAAATATTTCAAATATTTAATTGTTTGCTTAAATTTGGTTGCAGCAGCAGTTTAAAGGCATATTGGGAATCGTGTATTCAGGATTTTTCTTCTGCATTCTGTCCTTCATGAACAATTGTCCAATGTGGCACAAATAGGAAAAGATACAATTAAATGTTGTTTGTGGAAAATGCCCTAAAAGCTTTTTTGAATTCCCCAAGCCTATGGTATTTATTTAATCACAATAGCAACAAATGTATATTCAATTTTAAAACTGTTATCTTCAGGCATTCACACAATCCATTTGAGCTTTTCACACTATTTATTGCACATATAAATGTGGAAGTTAAAGTGGAAGATAATTTGTTCATTGTATATAGATTTTACAATTGGATTACAGAAGGTGGCAGTACAAAACATTCTTTAGTCTGTTATGTATAAACAATGTATGCTTTCTATCTCATAACAACATTCACAAGGGACTTACTTACAGAATTGCCTATTTATTATCGATTATCTTCACAGAACATGCTAACTTTGGTTAACAGAACAAGCTAGGTAACTTTCTCACAAATTAAAAGGAGGAAAATGGGAATAAATGAAATGAATGCTGTAGTGTCACATCCTAGACTTAGCCTTATAAGCTCAACATGTATAACTAGCAGAATCAGCCCATCCCCCTTCCTATGTGGAGAATCAGACTAGTCTTCCAGGAGATAAAACAAGACTTAAAAAAAAAAGATTGTAAAAGGCTTTTGCTACATACTAAGTAAACAACTCTCAGAAAGATTTGAGGAAGTATGCCTGAGAAGATGTATAACTGAGAATGTCCTGAGTCCTGCCAGCTGGCAGGGAAACTCTATTCTGAACACTGTGATTCATGGTTTAGTGCAATATGTAAATTTAACTAGTAGTTAGCAAGTGGTTAGGTATTCAGCAAGCCACGATTAAATTAGACAATGTAATGATAGCCAGTATTAGAACCAGTACAAAAATGCAACATTTTAAAAGAATGGTATGTGAAGGAATTATCAGGGTTTGGGGGGGAGGGGTTGTATCCTAGTGGGTGGTGGGAACAATTTATGACATTTTATCAAAAGAAGTAAAACTACAAATAATTCTTCCTCATTGGGTTGTGTCAAGTTCAAAGGAAAAATATGCAATTGTGTATGGGCAGAATGATGCACACACTTTGCCAACAAGCTGTTTTTTACATATGCCCGTTTAGGACTTCTCTGAGTAAACACTTCCACAAAAATATCACACTCGGCTCTAAATCCTTGGCACATAATTTATACTACCAAGTTAGTGTCCCCACTAAGGTATTTCATTGCTTCATTGAATTAGGTAGTGCTCTCTCTCCACAGAAAGCCAATTAAAGGATGGGAAAGAGGAGTGGGGGGGATTGGCCACTTGGCTGTTCCTGAGAAAAACTGGAAGGAATGGGCCTGGTACCTGGAGTGTCCAAAGAGGCAAGATGATAGGAGGGAAGTCTCTGTAGCCCCACATAAGCAGTACAGAATTGTAGGGATCCCTTTTGTGCAGAAGGGCCCTTATCTGAGCCCTAACATTTTCACGAAGTAAAGGCCAGCCTCTGAACCTAGACAGTTTCCTTTCTCACCTTCCCAATCTGTCCAACTATGCCACCTTTGTCGGTGGGCTTTCCCTGCACTTAAGCAGGCGTTTTATTGTGGTGCTTTCTAGCTTGGGGGGGGGGGGGTTTGCAGACATTTCATTATCCATCAAGTGAATATAGGGGTTTGTTTCCTGTAAGTTGCACTGATGACATTACCTAGTTCGGTAATGAAATGTCTGCAAATAAACAGCCAAGCTCCACCGCTCAATCCTGAACTACAAATACTATGTTCTGTTGGAGATGTTTTACTGACAGCACAGTCCCCAATTTAACATGTTGGTATGTTTCTAGCAAATGAGACTTTTCAGTTTTTCAGGTATTCTATCAGTTGTTAATAACTGGTTTTGATGGTTATAATTAATTGTTTTACAGTTGTTTGGAGCGTCTGTATTGATCGATGTTATTTGTTCTTTATTCTATCTGCATGTTATTCTTGTTTAATTGTATACCGCCCTGGCAGCTTGCTAAACAATCTATGATTGGCACTTTCCTCGTTCCCATGCTTGAGCTGAGATTTCTGGAAACTTGAAAGCTCTTTCAGAAATGAAGACCAAGGACCAACGGACCTTAGATTGAATTTGACACCTCCAAATCTATGTAAGACGAGAGCAATGGGCTTTTTAAGCAGGCTGATTTTGGAGAGTGCTGTGCTTTTCTGCCAGGGGCATCCAATTCTGCCTCTACGATTTCAACATAGTGGGAGGCCCGATGGTATTCTTGCCCCACAACTTGATTTCACTCGCTTCTCCGGGCGATGGATGCAAACCGGCCCCACCTCCCCACATATACACACACACACATACCCCGAGCCTGCAAACCTAACGCCACCCCCACTGCGGAGAGGCCAGAGTGGACCGCAAGTCCCGCCTAAGCGGCTGTTTGAATGGCCAGGGGAAGTGCCGCTCAGCCCAGGCCCCTCGCCGCCTGTCCCGCTGAGCGAGGGGATGGTGCTGCCGAAGCCTTTAGCGCAGAGCGGGCTGCCCGGGAGAGGCGCAGAGATCTTGAGGAGTGGGGCGCGGCGGGCCCGTCAGTGGAGTCATTGAAAAGCCGGAAACTTCATGACGACGTCCGCAGGTGTGCCTTAAGTCCGGGGGGTTGGGGGGAGTGTGCGGGACGGATAATGACCCTCGCTTTTTTCCTCTTCGGGGAGAGACACTGAGCGAGCTGAGACGGCGCGACGAGGAGCCATAAGAGCAGGGAAAGCAGGAGCCGTCTTTCCCCTAGTCCTGCCTCTTCTTTTCCCTTTTCCTTCTTTGGCTCAGCAAAAAGAAAAAAAGAAAAAAGGGAGGGGGGTATCAGTTGAGGAAGGATGGGTAGCAGTTGTAATCCCAGAGATGTCCAAAGTTGTTAACACTGCTAGTCACACCGTGCTTTTGAGTCACTCACAAAGTGACTTCTGCCCCAGGGCTTCCACTAAATAGAATACTGTATCTGAAGGGATGAGAGATTATCAGGTATATGAGTGTTTTTCTCCCTACATTTCTTTTTTTGTATCAAATCTTGTTAACAGATCTCTGAGAAGAAAAGGGATACTTCTTTCTTTCTTTCTTTCTTTCTTTCTTTCTTTTTTACACATCACAGGTAGGGCTTACTTATATGCCAAGTTATATATATATTTGGCATGGTTATAAATTCTGCAAGGTGTCTGTAACTGAATAAAAGGGAAATCAACATCTTAAATTGAATGCCATGAGATGTTGAGTTCAGATCTAAGTTCCAAGAAATGACGTTTTTACATTGCAGGAACCAAAAACATGAGGACTAGCTATCCTGAGGAAAAGGCACTCTGTGTATGTTCAGTGTTATAATTCCTCACCACCGTGCAAGAACTAAATTCTTCTGAGGCCGAGTTTGGCTTTAGACCCAATGTTAGAAAAAAATACTATTCTGGAGTTTTATACTTTTTGAATTGCAAGTGGTTTTTTTCTCTCTCTCATCTATCATTATCCTACAAATAGGAGAAGAGTCAAGGGAAATGTGGCTTACATGGGAATATCTACTTACCAGAAATGGATAGAAGCTAAAAAATAATATCAACAATGACACTAACTGAATTGCATGAATTGAATTGAACTGGATTGAATGGTAATGCTAAATCAGGAAAGTTTTCTGATATCAGACTATTTTAACAATAGTATCAACAATATTACATTCTTTCTCCTTGCCACACATTGTCCTACAGAAATATAACAAGCATAGAATAGCCAGGATAGAAGCAAGCATAGAATTTACTGAGAATCTATGAGCTCCATTCAGAACTAATACACAATATAAATCCATGGGCTAAGAATTCATAGTTCTCAAGGTGTGCCTTTTATATCTGGCTGTGAAAAACTGGGAGTATTTTTTTCTTTTTTCTTTTTTTTAAAAAAGCCCTTTGCCCTTGAGGCCTACCCACTCTTGCTCCATATCCTGAAAACCACTTTGAAATTCTTTTGCTCTTCATTCTGGCCAGGCTCCCAGAATGCTAAATTGTTTTTGAGCTGGAAATACAGTCAGTAATCTTTTCCCTTGTGATAAGTGGAAAAGCCTTGGACTGCAAAAATTTTTAAAGAAGCTCACTATAGGAAATGAACAGCATGTTCCAGAAGGATCATTCTCTGAAATAGGCCTTTTTAATGAGCGTACAGTAGTGGAATGAGAAGGTTTCAATACAAATTTATAAAGTAACATATCTTGCCAGCATCTTGATGGATAAAAATATTGCAATAAAAATAGTAATGCTTTACAGTATATATTCTGATGATGAAGGAAACATGGCAATCCTAATACCATAGGCCTAATGTCCCTAAAAGTGACTGCAATGGTGTTTAAATGTGCCCAAGTACAAATAAATAATAATACATAATTACACAAATAATGGAATTAGATAATAGCCACCAATCAGTAATTGTATTGCAGCTTGTCAGCCTTCTCATGAGACAATGATTGGGTTTATGTAGGGTACAGTGAGAAACCATTAACATCATTTGTTTGCTATTGCCTTAGTATGATATGTGAAACTGTCAATTCTGGATAATAAAGAATGGCTTACATTTTCAACATTCATTAATGCAATGTATTAACCAGGTAGTTTTTTTAAATTTATTTATTTATTTATCAAATTTAGAAACTAACAATCTCTGGGAGAACTAACTTTATTCAACACACTACAACATAATATGATATTATTTGGGGTATAATAGAACAGCCAATATTTTTTACAGCAGAAATGTTTCTATGGAATACTGTATTTACTGATTTATTACAAGTACGGTATATCTTGTGCTTCATCCAACAGTTAAAAGTAGCTTAAATTGTTCTTTCCTTTACCTCTATATCAGGGGTAGTCAACCTTTTTATACCTACCACCCACTTTTGTATCTCTGTTAGCAGTAAAATTTTCTGACCGCCCACC